GATCAGACCTACTTCATTCAATAAATTAATCATATACTTATATTCTGTATTTCTGGACTACATAATTAGTAATAGACAATACTCAAACTTTCTGACAATAAAACATATTACTTGAAAATAGTAGAGTTCTAAATATAGCCATGATCAAATGTCCACATCACAAAGAAATTAAGTTTTGCAATGATGAATATGCTAATTACCCTGATTTGATCAAACACTGCATATGTGTTTTGAAATATAACTCTGTATCCCACAAATATGTATAATCAATAAAAAAGAAAAATAAATGAATGAATATGACCATAAAATAAAAGTATAATTTTGGTTGCTAAACTTAAACTAGAAGAAAAATTATTAAAAATGTGTAACCCTTGCTTAAATTTAAGGGTTTCTAGAAGCATTCAACATACTTGACTGAACTTATTATTTATTTAAAAGTATACTTGAAAACAAAAATGAAAATAAAAATAAGAAAATAAATACGTTCAGAAGAATATTAGCAATTTAGAAAGGGCGTCATTAGGAAAAAAAAAATTGAGGATTTCTAGAAACTTAAAAGATAATGGGCAAAAAAAAAAGGTTGTCAGGTATAAGACAAATATATAAAAATCAGCTGTATTTTTATACAATTTTAAAACCAAGAAACTGAAAATGAAAAAAATTTTAAAGTTCCATTTATTATAATAGCCACAAAAAGTTTAAGGTAACTGGATTAATTAAGCCTGTGAAAGATAAATAAAGCCTGTATTGAAAAAAAATATGTACAATGTGTTAAATGACATTGAAGAAGATACAAATAAATGAGAAGCCAAAACATATTCACAAATAGAAAGATTTAAATTTATAAATATGTTGAATCTTCCCAAAGTGATCTATAAATTCAATAGAGGAAGATTTTTGGTGAAACTTACATGGACAAGATAAAAGCAAAGATTAGCCAAAGCAATATTTAACAAGAAGAGCAATGTGGGGTGGGGTGAGAGGTTAGGGAGATGTTGGGAGATCTATTGTACAACATGGTGACTACAGTTAATAATAATGTGTCTTGAAAATTGCTAAGAAAATAGATTTTAAGTGTTCTCACCACAAAAAAATGATAAGTATGTGAGGTGATGCATATGTTGATTAGCTTGATTGGGCTATTCCACCAAACCATAATGTTGCACATGCAAATATATACAATTTTTATTGTCAATTAAAAATAAAAAAATAAATAAAATAAATACAAAGAAGAATAAGGTGGAAAATATGTCTTATCAGATATCAAGACTTATGAAATTAAATAAAACCACCAGAAAAGCCTATGCAAATATAAAAATTTTATAAATGACAGAGCTGGACTACAAATAATCCTTCCATCCCATTAAAATAAAAATTTGTTTTTAAAAATTAATTTCATAAAAATAATTGATTGAAACATATCATATTTCTTTTGTTTTGGTTAACTGTGTATCAGTAGTAAGTAAAATTATTACTCAATCCAATAAATTTTAATATGTAAAGCCTTATGAACAGAGAAAATTAAAACAAATTAACTTTAATTCATTTAAAAATTTTTTTAATTGATAGGATGATTAATGAAAGATTTTCAAGCATAAAATGATAATGGTATAGAAATAAGAGCTATCAGAAAAAGGAAAGATAAATTAATGAGACTAAAAGACTTTGTGCATGAATTTTCTTTTAAATACATGATTATGAGTCCTAAAACCTGTAGTATTTAGATTCTATTGGATACATTTAAGAGTTATATAACAACTTTCTTTAAAACAAAACAAAAAAATGATAGTCATTGGAAACCAAACTGAAACACCATCCACAAGAAAGCTAATGTAGCTGCATCATCAGACTAAGTTATTCAAAGGCAGGAGCATTCTAGAGATAAAGAGATTGAATATACTGCAAGGATATAACAATCCTAAAATTATATACACCGAAGAAATGCAGTCTTATAATATATAAAACAAAAATTAACAGAACTAAATGGGGAAAAATTTAAAACACTTCTTTCAGTAACTGACAATAAAAGATAACAGAAAATGAGTATGGAAATAGAATATTTAAAAATATGATTAAAACCTTGACCTAATTAACATACCAGAAGTACTGCACTCAATAACTGCAGAACATACATGCTTTTCATCGGATGGGGAACACCTAATTGACCATGTGTTGGGTATTTGGTTAAAGGATTAATACTCCACAGATTATGTCTCTATCCTCAGTAGAATTAAACTAAAAATGAGTAACCAAAACAGAACTACATACCTAGAAACTGTTTAGAATGAAGCAAAAACAGCTCAAAATAAGGGTCAAAGAAGCAACCACGTGGGTATATACCAAATGATAATTAAAATATGATCTATAAAAATTTATGTGAGATTATTTTGTAAAAATTTGTAAAAAGCAATATCATCAGAAGTAAAGATTAAAAACCGAAAAAATTCTATGTTACTTTTTGATAAGTTTGAGTATCTTGATAAAAGTAATCATTGTCTAGGAATATGTACATTAACAAAATTATTCAAGAAAGGACAAAAACTTAGGGCCGGCCTGTGGCTCACTCGGTAGAGTGCAGTGCTGATAACACCAAGGCCACGGGTTCGGATCCTATATAGGGATGGCCGGTTTGCTCACTGGCTGAGCGTGGTGCTGACAACACCATGCTTCAAACTTAATTTGCAAACATTTTAAAATAGTATCGGCTAAAGGGACAGGTAAAATGTAACTTAAAATAAGAAGTAAGAGATGAACTGGTTTTTAACTTACTTTGGTTAACTTTGCTCAAATTAATAATTTAGCTAAGATAACTAATAAAGCAAATACTGCTGTACCGTACATCCGCATAAGATATTAAAAAGTAGGAAATGTCTCCTTTTCTAAAAAAATGTAGGCCCATATCATTTGGTAGATGAAACATTTTCAAACATTAAAGGAACAAACTTTCTATTATTACTTAAACTGTTCCAGAAAAACAGAAGTAATAGAAAAATTTTAAATGTAAAATGGCTCAAATATCATGGAAATTTATTTCTTGGTCACTTTTACAGCTCCTATTTCAATAGTATCTGGAAAAAGTAAAAATTTGTGAAAAGTATAAAAATGTAATTAATTTCAAATGTCTACCTAGAAAATCCAAGAAAAATATTTGAAAAACAACTGGAACAAGGAAGTTCAGTAAAGTGGCATGACGCAAAATAAGCTTTCTAAAATCAATACCTTTCCTCATCATTAATTAGAAAATGTAATAGTAAAAAATAAAAATTTCACTTCCAATAACATCACAAACTATGACATACTTAGTAACTAATCTAACTAGAAATATTCAAGATGTATATGAAATAAACTATAATTGTCTTTCCAAAGCATTAGTAAAAACCTAAATGAATGGAAAAATAAGTCATGTTCAGTTTTTTCCAAACTATCCCCTAAATTCAATGCAATTCCCATTTTAAAAAGTCTCAAATGAATTTTTATTACTATGGCAAAATGATTCTAAAGATCAACTAGAATATCAAAACTGAGAAGTTAAAAAAAATTAAGGACTTAACCTATCAGATAACAATAAACCTAGCACTATAAAGGCAGAGTAACTAAACTGTAATGTACTGGCAGAGAGAAATGGATCAGTGCAACAGAGTGGTGTGTCTAGACACAGATCTGTGTATCTTGATAGGAATTTAGTAAAACTGGAGAAGGATGGGTGATTAAATAAATGATGGTGGAACAAGGACAAGTGGTTATACATATTAGTAATAAATTCTGAGTTAATTAAATATGTAAATTATATGAGGGCACTTCAAAATGTCCGTGGAAAAATAGGATTAAAAGATAATACAAATCTTTCTATGAACTTTTTGAAGATCCCTCGTATTCAGTCATGTGCCACAGAATGACCCTTTGGGACGATGACAGACTGCATATACAACAGTGATCCTACAAGATTATAATACCGTATTTTTACTGTACCTTTTCAATGTATAGATATGTTTAGATACAGAAATACTTACTATTGTGTTACAATTGCCTACAGTATCCTTTACAGTAACATGCCGTACAGTTCTGTAGCCTAGTAGCAACAGGTTATACCACAGAGCCTAAGTGTGGAGTAGGCTATATACCACCTAGGTTTGTGTAAATATACTCTATGATGTTCACACAGCTACGAAATCGCTTAATGACCCATCTCTCAGAAGGTATTTCTGTCCTTAAGCAAGCATGACTGTATAATATAAGTTGGGAAGAAGGTCTTCCTTAATAATACAATAATACCGAAAGTCCATAATTAAAAGGACTGAAAGACTGGACAATATAAATGGCAAAGTTCTGTAGGACAAATGACTTATGAAGTTAATAGACCTCACGATTCCATTTTACAAAAAGCACAAAAACAGGCAAAACCAATCTATGTTGTTAGAAGGCAAAACAGTAGTTAGCTTGGTCTTTTTTTGGAGTGGGGGAAGGTGTCACTAGTGATAGGAAAGAAACAAGGGGGTAAGAGAGCATCTGGGATGCTGGTAATGTATTTCTTTAATGTTATGTTTCTTTATCTGTATTCTAATTACATGAGGATGGTCCAGATTGTAAAATTTCATAGTATATACACTTGTAATATGGGTACTTACAGGTACTTTTCCATATGTATATTACAGTGAAATAAAACAGATTAGACACATACAGACATGATATCCATCTATCTGTCTAGCTAGCGAGATACATAGTATGTATCTTTCCACATATCAAATTATCAATACTGGTGAACTGCAGGAGAGTAGTAGCATAAAGGGCTAATGAGAGAGGAGGATGGAAGAGATCAAGATGAACTTTTAATTTTAATTTTAAATTAATCTGTATCTTATATATTTACCCGAACAGCATGTATTATATGTATAGTTTCTAACAAAAAGTAAAAAATAAAAAAAAGCCTACATATATGACACATAACACTCAAGACTTGTGACTTAAGAGCAAACAAGACAATTTCATAGGGCATACTCTACCTGTGAATCTAATATATTAGAAATTTCATGTGTACCAACATTTACTTCATCCAACTGCAAGCAAAACAAGTTTCTGGCAACCTGGACAAAATCTAAAATGAAACACATTTCAGTAAGAACACAGCATTTAACATCATCTAAATAAATCTTACCTTTGTCTATATGAAGTTGAAATTGTATTATAACTAATGCTTCAAACTTAATTTGCAAACATTTTAAAATAGTATCGGCTAAAGGGACAGGTAAAATGTAACTTAAAATAAGAAGTAAGAGATGAACTGGTTTTTAACTTACTTTGGTTAACTTTGCTCAAATTAATAATTTAGCTAAGATAACTAATAAAGCAAATACATATCATAGACATATTTAATTCTCCAACTCCTGCATTATGAGTAGAACTTTTTCTGAAACATATGACATTATGATTCACAGATTTTCTAGCTGGAAGAACCTGGGGTTTAATAATCATTAATAATAGCAGCAGCTAATGCCAGAAACAGTGCTTAGAAATTTCATCCCCACAACGATCTTCTGAGGTAGGTCGTCTTAGGCTCTCCATCTTACAGATGAATAAACCGGGGCTAAGACAGGTAAACTGTCTTAAACTTCCCAAGGCCACTTGGCAAATAAGTAGACCAGTACAGTTCTTCAGACACAGAGAATGACCTATTTATCTATGTATCCTCAAATATTTTTGATTTTGGCTATTATATTTTTAATTTCCAAGGATCTTTTAAATCTTCTCTGTTCCTGTTTTACAACATCCTATTATTTCATGAATGCATTATCTTTGCTTATCTTTTTAAAGATGTTAATTACAGTTTATCTGAATTTCTCTTCTCTTCATTATTTCTTTTCTTCTGAGTTCCTTTTTTCTGTTTGTCTGATAGTTTTGTGCTCTATATTTTATGTTTGAGGATTTCTCCAAATATCTGGTGACCCTTGTCTCTGAGGTCATATTTAAGAAGCAGGCACTAAAAAAGTTGATTGGAAATTTTGTGCACATAATTTGCCTTGTCAACTGGCAGGTTTCGCTACAGGGCATTGTACGGCTTCTTCAGAGAGAGCCCTACAATCTCCTGCCTGTAATTATGAGCATGGCTGCAAATTTCACTGAGCAATATGGGTGTGTGTTGTGAGTGATGACTCACCAGACACTTCCCAAACTCCCTTGCTGCTGGCAACTATACCTGTCGAATCTGACTGGTTTAATTTCCGAAGGGAATATACTTCTTTTTTCCCCTGGAGGTGTAAGGGAGTGGTGGTTGCTGGACTGCCTGAGAAGGGGAAGGGAATAGCATGTATAATTCTCCTTATAAAGATTTCTAACAATCCTATTTTAAACGCCCTGCCTAAACCCAGTCTTTAGAAATATGCGATGTTTCAGAAATATCTAAGCCTTTTCAAGTCAAATTGGCTTGTTTCCTACTGTGATTTGTGCTTCACCTGCCTCTGCATACTAATTCATTTACTTTCCTCATCCACTTTCTGTCATTAGACATTACGGTTTTAGTTTATACATGTATATCTCTTTCTTTTTCTCATTATTTTGGGGTGATCTTCAAAAGGAGATGGGCTCAAAAATATCTTTTTTTATCACTTCAAAATCAATAGGTGAATTTCCTTTTATTAATACAGATGCTTTAAAAATGATACAATGTTATATCTACTATATAAGAAAAAAATTAAATACTTAACGGTGTCAAGGATACAAAAAACTGTTATATTCAAACATTACTGGTAGCAGAACAAATAGATGTGTAAAACGTCTCTGGTAAACAACTTAACAATATGTATCAAATCTAAACTCTTGTGGGGATTTATTTCAAGAAAAGGAAGAAAAAGCTACATTCATAATGGTGATAAATACAGATTTTTTTTTTTGTCCTTTTTGAGACCGGCCGCACTGTGCTCAGCCAGTGAGCGCTGTGAGCGCACCGGTCATCCCTATATAGGATCCGACCTCATCCCTATATAGGATCCGAACCCGCGGCAGGAGCGCTGCTGCGCTCCCAGCGCTGCAGTCTCCTGAGTGCGCCATGGGCTCAGCCCATAAATACAGACTTTTAATATCAGCTACTAAGAAAGCATCAAAATTCCCAATAGCAGAAAGGCTTAATATTACAGTGTCAACTAAATGATACATTACGCTATCTTCAGTAAAAATAATTATATAGCATTGTAAAAATATCTATTATACCATATTAGCTGAAAAATGGATTAGAACTAATCTCACGGTGAAATTAGGGATTTTATATTTTGTACTATTTGTTTTGTTATTACTAAAGTAATGTTTATGCAATAAATAAAAGATAAAAAATATGATAGAATGATGATATTTTAGAGCTGAAAGTTTCTATTTTTTTTTTTTTTTGTCTTTTTCCGTGTCCAGCAACGGATCGCAACCCTCAGTGTCGCCCTGGTACCGGACCAGGACCGGCAACGGGATCGCAACCCTCGGTGTTGCTCCCGCGCCTCGCTCAGCCAGTGAGCGGGAACCGGTCTGTATGTGGGATCCGAACCTTCGGGCGGGAGCTGCGCTTCCCAAGCGGTGCACTATCCAGTGCGCCACTGGGCCGGCCCAGAGCTGAAAGTTTCTAATAATGTTTTTCTTTCTGCTGACCGAGACAGGTCAGTAATTCAAGCTGAGTTTTTGGAGTACTGATTAAGGAACATGCAATAGATGTGGTTTTACTTTTCATTCTCTCCTTCTAAAGAACAGACACTTTTAATAAAAATGGGTCACAATTAACTCCTTGACCAAGTTTCTGTAATAATACAACATGATGAACCTAACATTACCTCCAAATGACACTGTCCCTTGTGAGTCTGGATTTACTTGCTGTCTCAGAGCTTGGTGTTGTTCTTTTGTGGGATGAATACCAAGATAATTTAGAGCCTGGAAGGAAAAGGATTCATGTGAGACAATTTTTCAAATCTCTAAAAAACACAACTTTTATTACAACTTTATTTTACAATTCAGTAGAAAAAAAAATCAATATCAGGAACAGTGACCAGAATTAGATGCCCAAGGAAAGTCTGCTATTTATGGACTAACTGCCTATAAAAAAAAAAAACTAACTTCCTGATTCTACCAGCACCTCAATATTTTTCCAAGGCTAGCTGATGCCAAATTTATAAGCATAGCCCTAGAACCAAAAGTCAAACTGTTTCTCAGTTTATATGATTTGGCAGAAGAAAAATAGCAAGAAAATCCTATTAAATCAGATTTATAAGAAACACTGTAATAAATGAACAATATTTTATTAATATCTTGCCTTTGAGAGCAAAACTGAGGTACATAGGAATTGGGATAAATATAAAATATTCTGATTCTTGGCTTGTTTAGGGGCAGGCTTACACAAAAAGCTTTCTCTGGCACTTATTTCTTTCTTTTGTCAGGCTCTTCCTTTTTGGGGAAAGCATCTTCTCCTTTGAGTACCCATAACTGATTAAAAATTCAGAGACTGCTGGTTGTATTCCAATGTCCATCCTCTCCTTGTTCTTTAGTAGCAGAACCCACCACAATTTTCAGCTAGAAAACATTGTCATCCCGCTAAAAGACATTTCTCAGCCCCTTTGGCAGCTTGATGAGGCCATGTGACCATGTACTAGCCAATGAGATATTAGAAGTGCTGTCGAGTGTTTCTAGGAAGTCTCTTTTCAAAAGCAGGGGTAAGTACTCCTGTCCCTTTTCCTTCTCTTTTGGATTAATAGCTAAAAAAACAAAACACCATGAGAGGGAGAGAAAGAAAGAAAAAAAGAAGAAAGAAAACATTGCTGGAATTTGAGCAGTCATCTTGGTTCATGAGGTACCTCAATAAAGTTAGTGGAACAGAAAATAGTGGAAAAAACGTGCATCCCTGACACTTGAACTTCCATGCCAGCCCTGAATTACCTTCTTTCAGGCTTCTTTTGGTGTGAGAGAAATACATTTCTAGAGGAAATCACTATTATTTTAGGTTCTCCAGTTATATACAGCAAAATGTAATCTTAACTAATGCCTAGATATTGATCGGGTATCCTATTATTGGATTCTGGCAAGAACATATACAATCTCAGTCACATCAAAACTAAAAAGTAGGCAAAGTTTAATATTGGTAATTATCCCATACAAATGTCTTTTCCTTTGGAATCTGTACAATCATTCATCACTTCATTCACCAAATATATATCTGTTGTTTACTAATTTTTAGGCACTAAACTATGTACAGGGGATAGACAAATGATATATTTAGTCCCTGCCCTCAAAGAGTTTATGGTCTCTAGGGTGAGAATAACATGTAAATAAATATAAGTACAATACGTAATTTAATAAAAGTATGTGCAGGGTATACTATGACAAAAAGCAACTGGTTAATGTCAGGTGATTGGTTCAACTGGGCACAGTGAGAGGAGACAGGAGGAAGAGAGAACATCAGGAAAGATTCTTTCAAAAGTGATTCATAAGCTTGGCCTAGCATCATCTACCTATCCTAGCTAGCAGTCATCAGAATTTGCCTTGCAGGGCTGGCCAGTTTACTTAGTTGTTTAGAGTGTGGTGCTGGTAATGCAAAGGTCCAGGGTTCAATTCCTGTGCTGGCCAGCCACCAAAAGAAAAAAAAATGGCCTTGTATAACATGGAATAATGATTCTTAGCTTCTATGTGCTTTTTTTGCTTCAGTTATAAAAATGTTCCAAATATAAAAAAACAAAGAGAATAATACAAAGAACACCTGCTATCATCAAATACTCATTGATATTTGCTTTAAATTTATATATATTTTCAAGAACTAAAACTAAAGATTTGGTTGAAAGCTTTCTCTATTGCTCTTCAGCAGTACCACTATCCTAAGGTTGGTGTATCCTTCCTGTCCATAATTTAATGCCATTTTCTACATAAGCATGTACGTATCCCCTAATATGAACTCATTTTGTGCATTTAAAATTTTATATGAATAGTATAATCTAAAAGGGTAATTCTATAGATTTTCATCTTGACCTCAACTTTGATTTCATAATTGCTCAATATTATCTGCAAAACTAGTTCACTTATTTTAACTTTAAATAATATTCCACTGTATGAATATATTGTAATTTATTTTCCATTCCTTGATTGATGGGCTTTTTAAATTACTCCAATCTATTTTTTATTACAAAACATTATACATGTCTCCTTGTATAGGTGTGTGAAAATTGCTCTACAATACATCCCTAGAAGAGGAAGTGCTGAGTCACAGGGGATATACATTGCCAACTTTATTATATATTATTGGATTGTTCTCCAAACTGGCTGTACTGATTTATGTGCAATAGTACTATATAAGCATTCTTATTCTTCTACATTCTTAACAGCATTTGTTGTTTTCACACTTTAATTTTTGTTAATATGTTGGAAATGAAATAGTACATTGTTTGTTAATTTGCATTTCCCTAATTGCAAGTTAAACATCTTTTACATGTTTATTGGCAATGTTTTTAACTCATAAATTATTCAGAAATAATGTTTTAAATTTTTGTACATAGAGTTTTAAGAAGTATCTGATTCCTAATTTGGTGGCAGTCATCCAGTTGTGGCAACCAAAAATATCTACAGACATTGCCAGATCTTCCTGACGAGAAAACCCACAACCCGATCCTTGTTGAAAACCACTGCTCCAGAGACAAACACTATCAACAGTTTGTTGTATAATTTTCCATGAATACGTATATGTATGTTTATATGAATTATGTATTTTTTTTGCAAAAGTTATACTGTACATTGTATTCTATGTTTTAAAATTATCAATATATCACAGCTTTCTATTTTGTAAATTTTAGATCTACGAGAAAACCCACAACCCGATCCTTGTTGAAAACCACTGCTCCAGAGACAAACACTGTCAACAGTTTGTTGTATAATTTTCCAGGTTTTTTCTATGAATACGTATATGTATGTTTATATGAATTATGTACTTTTTTTGCAAAAGTTATACTGTACATAGTATTCTATGTTTTAAAATTATCAATATATCACAGCTTTCTATTTTGTAAATTTTAGATCTATTTCATGTTTTTAAAAATTGGCCTAATAGTACACTGTCTGGACTGAACTTTAAACATTCTCCTTTTGATGGTCTTTTAGATTACATACAATTTTTTATTATTAAACACAATGCTACAAAGCACTAGAGCTCTTTCCTTTATGCCAATGATTCTTAAATTTCAGTAGCTATAAGAATTATCTAGGATTTTAAAAATCATGATATATTTATACAGAAAGTTTTAGAAAATACTGTAATAAACTAATGGATATCTACTGCCTTGCTTCATTAAAGCTTAGCACTTAACTATATTTACTTCATTTATGAATGTAACAAAACATTACAAAAATGTCTTTTGAACTTCTCCCCAGAGGTAACAACTGTCATATATTTGATTTCATATTCTTAAGCATTTTTTCTTATATAATATTTGATATATACTAAGAAACATAACAAATATGAGTTTTAAAGTAGAACAATAAAACACCCATGATTCCATTTAAGAATTATAAAAATGTCCTTATGTTGAATCCGGATCGCACACACCCTTCTATTCCACCAGAGGTAACCACAACTAATGAACTCTGTTTATCACTCCTGTACCGTTTATTTTAAAAGTTTGTTGCAAACATACGTATCCCTAACATGTTATTTTGTTCTGTTGTTTTAGCTTCAGAAAAATGTTATAGTCTTCTGAAACAGTCTATAAGATGTTATCATTCATCCACGTTGTCAATGTTACTGTAACATTCACTCATTCATTTTCACTGTTACATAATATTTGATTAGATAAATATGACACAATTTATTCATCCATCCCCTTGCATATGAACTCTGTTTTTTTTTGTTGTTGTTTTGTTTTTTTGCTTACCAGCCATACAGCAACCAACATTCTTGTACATATCTACTACAGCACATGGGTAGGAATTACTTTAAGATATATACCTAGATGTAGTATTGGTGGGGTTTTTTCTGACTGATTTGTAGTAATTCTTCATGTATTTCAGATTCTAACACTTTATGTCTTATGTGTATTAAAAATATTTTCTCCCAGTTTTTGGTATAACTTTTCACTTTTTTATATTCTCTTTTTATGAAGTTTCTTATGAGCAGTCCTCAAATATGTTTTTATACAATTACTTCTTAATGAATAGTTTTCAAGTTTTTTAAGTGCTGATTTTTGTAAATAGTACCATATTGTACACACCATTATGAAACTTTTAATTTTATTAATGTTTTATTGAGATATAACTCACCTACTATAAAATTCATAGTTTTAGTGTACAGTTAAAAGATTTTTAGTATATCCACAAAAATTGTGCAATCACCACTATCTAACTCAAAAATTTTTCATCACCCCAAAAAGAAACCCCATACTCATTAGCAGGCACTTGCTATATCCTCATTCTTGCAGCCAACCACCAAACTATTTTTTTTTTCTTGTCTCTATGAATTTGCCTAGTCTGGAAATTTCATGTTAATGAAATTATACAATTTGTACCTTTTTGTGTCTGGCTTCTTTCAATTAGCTTAATGTTTCAGGGTTTATCTGTGTTGTAGCATGTATCAGAACTTCACTTCTTTTATAGTCTAATAATAATCCATTGTATGTATATACTACATTTTGTTTATCCATTTACTAGTTGATGGACATTTGAGTTGCTCCACTTTTGGCTATTATGAAGAATTCTGTAATGAACATCGGTGCACACATTTTTGTGTAGACATGTTTTCATTCTCCTTGAGTTTATATCTTGGAGTGGAACTCAGTTGTATGTCTAACTTTTTGAGGAACTGCCATATTGTTTTCCAAAATGGGTGCACCATTTTACAAGCTCATTTGCAATGTATGAAGATTTCGTTTTCTCCACATCCTCATCAGCATTTGTTACTTTTT